CTGCATAGAGAGTGCTGTGTTCCCAGGGCTGAAGAAATCCATCTTCAGCCTGCACTCGCCCATCTTGAGCATTATTTGCACACCAACACACTGCAACGTTTATGTGCTTGTTGGAGGGCCCCAGCCACTCTGTCATTTCGCTGTGGCAGCAGGGATGCATGGAAGAATGTGTACTCAGGAAAAATGGGCACTTGGCAAAGCTCTACCCTTCCCCATGCTGCTTTGCCACCAGGGACTGGTATTTGTGAGGGAAGGGAAACCCTTCCATCCAGAAGCAAACTCTTCAGCAGAGAAATGTCATTTAACCTACAATCTGTGGGGAATAATGTGGGTCTAAAGGAAGGGCATTGCAGGCACTGGTGCTGTCACAGCCCTTTGCAGGAGCAGCCAAAGAGCCAGTAGTGCAGCCCAGAAGGCAGGTGGCACCCAACAGGCTGTATCAGCCCCACCAGCCATTGCCAAAGACATGCCAAGGGTGAAACTGCCTCAGGCATTCAAAAGGCACTTCTGGCTCCCACAACAGACTGGTGCACGCTTGGCAGAGGTGAGGCTTTTGCAAAAGGAACAGGAAGGAAGAACTGAAACAGGAGGGGAAGGCGGCTGCCAGTGTCTGGGAAAGCTGGTGGCTCTGCACAAGAGACTTCTGCTGTTTGAATCCTCACAAGGGGCTGCAGTAATACCAAATAGGGCTGTGCTGGGAAACCCAGGAGGGACTGCTCAGCTTATCTTATGCCTATTAGGAAGGCATGAATGAAAGCTTTACTCTACCTGTGTATCATGTCCTGCAGATTGAAAGCTTGTGAAATACTGATATTAAAGAAAATCAGAAGGGAAAAATAGCAATGAATCCCAATAAAGATGTGTATTTAGACAGATGCTGCTGTGATACCTTAAAAAAAGCAGCAGCCCTCCTCGAAGTTATAATGGGAACAATATGCTTAAGAGACAGGAGGGTGTTGAGGTCAAAGGATGATAGCAGAGCCACAGATGTTACTTCCAATATCCATTCTTGTGTCAAGATGCTGTGACCCAGACTCACACTGATACACCAAGGCTTTTATAGGTAAAACCCCTGCTGTAATCCAGCTGCATAAACAAATGCAGACCACACTTAAAAATTAGTGGGAAGCTATTTACCAGGATTATGCCCTTTATATTGAGGGTGGAAATCCAGAGATGCAACCAAGCAAAGTGGAAACTTCAATTAAAACATCAATTAAGTGAAAACCTTGTCATCACACTCCTGTTATATCAGGGTTGCAGAGAAAAGCCACAAAACTTGCTTAGTTCCTCCTGCAACGGAGAGCAAGTCAGCACTGCTATCCATACCCTAACAAAATCAAAGACACAGGCAAACAGGGATACAGTAGCCAAGCCAGGGCCTCAGCCCAGTTCTGCTGAACCCATGGGAGACACGTAAATATGAGGATCTGTCTGGTGTGCCTAGAGTGTGCTAAAAAATGAGCAGCTGGCTTAAGGTCAAACTTCCCTCAGTCTAAAGCAGTGATTCAGTCAGAGGCTACTTGCAACCAGCAGAAAAGGCCCTCATTTTGATACATAACAGGAAATTTAATGCCTGATGCCAACAGATGCCATATCTGCCTCCAAAACTGGTGTCTGGTGAGAAGCAAAACATTCAACTTTACCATTCCTTCAAACTTGACAAAAGTCTCAAGGCCAATTCAGTAACAAGGGTTGTCTCATCTTTTCTCAGTTTTGGCAAGAACATGTCTTGCAGCAATCTACAGGAATTAGTTTTTGGGAGAAGACTAGCCTGCTGGTAGAAACAAGGCATTTCCATAGGAATGCAGCAAGGTGAATCAAAAGAGCCACTATCCTCACTAACAGGCATATTTGCAATACAAGAGTCAGCCTTGCAACACTGACTTAACACAAGAAGAGACACAAGTTGCATTTATTGAGAAATAAGAGAGAGAAACTGCATCTGTGCAACTCTTGAGTCAGAGGCTGCGGTGTGAGCCCCTGGGCCCTGCTGGTGTCTGAAATTCTTCCCAGCCCAGTACACCTGAAATCTTCAGGAAAGCTCTTGCCCAGCCCATCTACTGATTTTCAGCTCTGCTGGTGTGTAAACACCTAGACACAGTTTTCTGTGCTGTGTCAGCTGGATACTTGTTCACATCCGGCATTATATGGAGGGATGCTCCAGACTGACACATTTGTCACACAGAAACCTGTCATTAGCTGAAATGTTATTTAGATCATGGCAGTGTAAGAAATGGGTATAGGAAGGGCACAAGTGGGCTAGAAGAAGGAATAACCATCACACTCATTTTATGTATGTTGCAGTAAGCAAAATCTACATCTCTGCTGTAATGACAAGTCTGCTGGGCATTGTGTGACATGAAGAACAGTAGAAAAATTAAGTGGTGATATAATAACCACTTGGGCCTCCAGGAGGGAAGGGAGTTATGTAACTAATAGTCTTCTTGCTGTTCAAGAGTTTCCAGATGCTAGCAGAAGATGGGTTCCTGATGCCATCTTTTTCTAAGAGTCTAATTTCACTGGAGTTATTATTTCCTCAGCACTATGAAGTTACCCACAGAGAAGATAACTTTAGCTCTTCTGCTGCACGTAGTGTATTTTGGACAGACATACTTGGACAGGAGAAGAGAACGGAAGAAGTGCATCTCTGTCCTTTCAGAGGAATTATGTGTAAGTACAGACCTCTGAGCTGCACCCACTATCTGAACGCTCAGGGCACACTTTGAACAACAGATGCGTGTGCCTTGAGTGATACACTTGGGTTAATGAAGCCTTTAATCCACAGCACTGCCTGCAGCAGTGATCAGCACTGCCTGCTTAATGCTCCCTCCCTGGCACTGGGAAGAGCGTGAGAGAAGCCTGCAGGCTCCACTAGCCCACCCTCCCCTAGCAACAGCTCCAGCAAAGAATGTCAATGTCACAGCAAGAATGCGCAAGTTCAGTCTGAAAAAATAAATCGTGGCATGTAACACTATGCCTGGGCTTTAGCTGGCATAAATCAGCACAGCTTTTTGCTCAGTAGGACCAAAGTTTTTAGGCTTCTCCCAAAAAGTGGGACTGACACAAATGTTACTAAGATCCAGCTAAGCTTTCCCAAGGTGATTATTCCCTCCCTTTTTTCAGTGAGCTCAGATGCTCAGAAATATTTTCTATCTTTCATTTACATTGACTTGGTTTTTATAGTAGTGCCATATTTCCATAATTGTCTATGTAGTATATAAATGTGCATGTCTACAAGCTCCTGCATAATAAAATCCCAATTTATGATTCATTTAAATAATGGGGGAAATTACAATGAAAGCATCAGTGTTGCATAGAAACAGAGAACAAGCAAAACTAACCATAAGAGTTACTTCTAACTTAGATGGTTGCTAAATTTCATTCATTAGTGCAGAAACAATACATCCTCTCTGTAAGAAGCAAAGGCTGAAATAGTTCCAGTGTGATCTAGCTTTTTGGTTTTCAGCAGAAGTTTGAGGATTATAGAGCACCTTTCCTAATAATAAACCTTTAAAGCTATGCTTTGACCTACTACTGCTACAATTGCCCACAGTGCAGAGTATCTAAGCAACATGATTTACATCAGGTTTCCATACTCATCTGGATCAGTGTGGTTTGGCCCCTGTTCAGAAACACAAATGATACGAACCCAGTCCTTCAGCCCAATTCCATATTTCTTGCTGATGAATATCTTTCCAGGCTGTACCTTTCAGGTATTTTGCCCAGTTTTTGCAAGTCACTTTTATACTCTGTCCCAGTGACATCCTGCATCTTTCCCGAGGCTGACAAGGGCTGCTCTCAGGAGGGTGCTACTGCTTCCCACCCAGAAGGAACTGGGCTAAGGGCTCCACTTCCTTCATGCAGTCAAAACAAGATATCCTTTCCCAACCCAGCTATCTCTGTTTAAAGATGCAAACAGACCATAGGACAAAAGGGAAGGGATGGGGAGTGTTAAGATATGGGTTCTGGGCAATAATCTGTCCCAAAGAGTGCTTCACCTGTCTCCCAAACAGAGGGCTGTGCTAGGTCGAGTGCAAGTCAGGTGTGGAGGGAATGTTGTAGGGATGAGAGCCCCTTGTTTATCTTGCTCTAAAAGACACACTGATATCATCTGTATAACTTCCCCCACAAAGAGATCTACCCTCAGCCAATTAATATCTGTATTTCCCATGCCCTGTTTTCCTCAAAGTGCTGTGAAGCCCCACACTAAGTTTATTCCTAACTTTAGGGACAAAATAGGGTCCCTCTGAGCAAGGAACATTATGCAAATGTCAGAATGACTGCATGTCTCCGGGCTCATCTCCTGCACACTTGTGGCTCCTGCAATCATGGTGCCTGCTGGGCAGAAAGGTGCTTAGGGCAAGAGCTATCTCCCACAAGCTCACATTAAAAACTACTTAGACAACAGTGTTGGGTGTGTGGGGAGCTGGACAAAAATCACTAACGAGTGCTCTTTTATTAAGGTGGGACCAGTGATGACTACAAAAATGGAATTAAATCTCACATATCCACAGAGCAAACGTTTTATTTATCAATACTGTGCTTCAACTGCAGGCTCTCAGCCCACAAGGCTTTATACAGAAAAAACAGCTCTTAATCAGAGCAGTATCAAGAAGAACAATTTTGAAGCAGGACACTCCTGCTTGCCTAGCAGAGTAAGCAGTGAAAGCTTCCCTCCAAGGTGACTTCCAACCAGAGTGAGCATCGCTCACCAGATGGAACAGGATAGCAGACAAATGCATCTTCCGTGCCACAGTGCTATGCAAGTCTAGACTATAACATCAGCAGGACTCCAGAGCTTTATCCCAACTGAAGACCTGGCACAATATGACAATATGTTAAAAGGCACCAGACTTGTTTATTTGTGGGCATGGTCCCCACTCAGCACATGAACTGTGCAGCATCAGAGACCACAGCCTGATGAGCTCTGCACAATGTTGTGGTCTCTCTGTGTGCACTGGGTGGACATTCCAAACCCTCCAGGCAATGATGCACACCTGGCAGCCAGCACAAACAAGCAGTCCTGGCTTGATCCTCTCCATGGACCATGCCTCCTTGTGTCGTTCCTTCCCGCTATCCGTTGCACTGCAGACTTAGAGCTCATGGGTTTTGACTCTTGTTAAAAGTGTCCTAAGGAGGAAAAGAAGGGGAAATGCAGGAGAGCAGGTTGTGTGTAAGCAGCCAGGGCCACCTGCTGCAGTACTGTACAAAGGCCATCACTTCGAGAGCAGCAAGAAAAATCCTGTCACTCTCAGATGTGCTCTTCTGATGTTCTCCCCACTGAGGCTGATGCTGCAGTGTGCTGGGAGAGGACACACTACAGACAAATCAATTCCTCTGGCTAATTTGATTATGCCTCAGGTGCTACCCCTCCAGAGAATCTCCCCATCATGTCATGGCAGTGATATCCACACTGGCTCCAAAGACCTGGTGCAAAGTCAATGCAGTACAGAGATAAGGGCTGGGCCCCAAGGCGAGCACTCAGCTGTAGCCAGACTGATGGCCACTGCCCTTCCCTTCAGCAAGAGACTTGCTAGAGGGAGTCCACCAGCTGGAGAGCCATCCTCCTCCTCACCCCCAGCTGTGCAAGGGCCACACCATGCTCCTGGGCAGCACAGGCTGCTGTGTGACACCAATTCCAGCCGCCCTTCCTGGCTGTGGGACAGCCGGCGTGGAGCAGCACTGTGTTCTCCTTCAGAGCAACAGCAACGTGACAACCACTGATAGAGAGGTGCAAAAAATTGCTCCTCAGAACACTGAAGGCTTGCAGCTCTTTTTTTTTGTGAGCTGTGTGGAGGATCAGTTGCTCTCCCCTCTCACCTCCACAGCAATGGCAAATAGCTGCAGCTCTGGTCACAGCTCCCAGTCTTATCATCCCTGCAGCTCCCCATAGTTTCACACCTGCATTAGTTACCTTTGGAGAAGTAAATTGTTCATATGTCAGGGAGACAGCCAAAGCAGAAATGTGCTTTGTTACATGTCAAAAGAGCACACGAGAAAATAAAGGTTTTTTCAATTCCCCCCCGTCCCCCCCCCCTGCCAGTTTACCTTCCAAAAGCCTTCCGGTCTGAACTCTGTACACCCTTCCCAACACGTACTTTAGTCATTTGCCTCAAAACTCGGTTGAAACAAGACCACCCTGGATGCACTATCACAACAATCAAGTACAGCCTTCTGCAAACCGTGAAACAAATCCTGTCAGTTTCTGAGCCATTCCAGTACTGTCCCAACATGAAATTTTACTTCCAAGATACACATACACAATTTACTATAACCAAAAGCATCACTGAAGGACAAATTTAGTTTATGGAACAGAAGCACAAAGATACCAAACCTTTTAAACTGTTTTGGAAAAACACCCAAAAAAATGTTTGGCACTACAACGTTATAATTTCCAAGCTACTTCCCTCTGTCTCTAGAGATAAAAGTCATCCCCAGGCTGCTGATGAACTTACCAGGTATATGTTAATAATTGGGGGAAAATTCATCCAAACTAACAGAAAATACAGCCTGCAGTGCAGAACTGCCAAAGCAATTTAAAAGTTTTGAATACCAGCTTTGTGAGTTAAGATCATGACAAGATTTCAACCTGCCAGAGAATTTGCAATAGCCTGGCCCTTGACCAAAGTATTTCAAAACAAGATGGGAATGGATCCACAGGGAACAAGGATACCAGCAGTAGGTGTTCAGCGCTGCAGCAAAGCACCAGGAAACTTTACCACCAACAGTTATCCTTACAGCATGTGTTAAGTCTGCTGGGGTATTCCAACAAATCCCTCACTTTCTAGAAAGGCAAACATGCAAAGCAGCATGTCTAACAGTGCAGCTTCTCTGCTGTCCCGGCAGTTCTTTCAGCATTGAAACAGCCCCTGTTCACCTGCAGGGGCAGTTCCTCGCATTGCTGGCACAAGCCACAGCTCCCTCCGTTACCAGCTTGGTTCCATCAATCCAAGAGTTCTGCTGCACACATCACCTACTGACAGGACAGCAGCGAGTTGCTATCTTACTGCTGGTTACGTTAATTAAGCATCGTGACACCCCATGAGACAGGCAGGTGACACCAATCCCAGTCTCATGTCGTCAGGTGGTGGAAAGACTTGCAGACGAGACGAGGTCTCAGCGAGAGGTCACCCAACCTATGGAAAGTCTGCCCCACACGGGGGTCAACACACGCCTCAGCTCAAACCAGGACCTGGACAGCAAAGCACCTGCGGATGGTGAGGCAGAGGTGCCTGCGAGGGCAAGGGAGGCCGCGGGGACAGGAGGATGCTGCCGGGCACTGCCGCGACGCGAGCCCAGGGCAGCTGGGGCAGCGCCGCTCTGAGCAGATGCAGCGCACGTAGAGCAGATGCACCGGGGATGTTTTTAAAAACACACACGGCAAGAGGAGGACGCGGCGGAGAGCCGCCCGGGCAGGCGCACCGCTGGAGCAACAGCTGCCGCGGGAGGCCGGGGTGAGCATCGCGGGGGCGGCCGCAGTGGTGGGCTCCGGGCGGCGGGAGGACAGGAGCGCCCGCCGCGCTCGGGGACAGCGCCCGGGGAGCGGGTGGGAGGGACCGGCCGGGAGCGGGGACACCGGCCGGGAGCTCGTGGGAGGGGGCGCGGGCCCCGCCGCCCGCCCGCCGCGCGGCCCGCACTCACCACGGTGACGGGGGACACCATGTCGGCGGGGCGCGCTGCTGCTGTCGCCGCCGTCGCTGTCGCCGCTGCGGCCGCTGCCCAGCCGGTGCCCTGCCTGCCTGCCGGGGCGCTTTTTTAGGCGGCGCTGACGTCACAGGAGGGGGGCCCCGCGGCGAATGCGCTGCGGGGAGAAGGAGGGGGCGGCCCCGGACCCGCCCGGGCGGGCGGCGCCGATCGGAGCGGACGGCTCCAGCCCCGGGCCCGCTGCCGGCAGGGCGAGCGCCTCGCTCGGCCCCGGCCACGGCGGCGTCAGCGGGGCCTCC